TCTCTGTCTCTCATTCTCTCTCTCTCAAATAAATAAATAAAATCTTTAAAAAAAAACAATTACCCTTTCCCTGTGCTATTTTTCCTTTTTATATTGCACCTAGCACCTTCTGACATACTATATACTCTCCTTATATGTTATAAGTATGCTGTCAAAAAATGCAGGCTCCATAGGGAATATTTGTGGTTTGATTAAAGGATGTATCCTAAGTACCTAGGACAGAGCCTGGCTTCCATGGGGCATTTAGTATTTGTTGAATAAATGCATGTATGGATTTTCAAAAATGATACCCTTAAAACTTCACCACGGGATAAACTGTGATTCTTCCACTAAGTATTAATAAGTACCTACAGCAGTTGATCATATATCTTATGTTTTTAAGCAATGATTTTGTCTGAAACTTATCTTTATGTAATATGAAAAACCGTAGTTCAAAAGAAAACTTGGAATATATCATTTTTAAACTTTGATTTTATTTAAATTTATAAAAACAAACAGAAATACTTGATGTAAATAAATATAAATGAAGTATATAGGGAGAAGGCACTCATCTGCTAAATGCTGGGGCACCCTGACATGATCAGAAGCACTGAAGTTATGAAAAACAACAGCAATGGATGGATCAAAAATAGATAGCTTTAACAAACTAGGATTATTAGCGACTGAACTAGAAAGCCTAATTGATAATTAGTCAATTCTTACAATTAGGCTTAATCCATAGGCTGACATAATATAGTTGAATAACACAAAATACTCTCTTGCTCTTTATAATAGCTAATAAAACAATTATGGTAAAAACTAATCATTCTTGGGGCACCTGGGTGGCGCAGTCAGTTAAGCATCTGCCTTCAGCTGTCATGATCCCAGGACCCTGCTCAGTGGTGAGTCTGCTTCTCCCTCGCCTCCCCATTCGTGCTCTATCTGTCTCTCTCTCTCTCAAATAAAATCTTTAAAAAAAAAAATCCCCTAATAATTCTTACTCTTTACATGATGAGCTATTCTCATATTTGTTAGAATTTCCTGTACACTATTAAGTATATTAGGAGGGCCTCCAAAATTAAATATAAGAAAAGTATAGATTGAGAATACACAGAAAACTGCATTGAGTTTTTCCTTCAAAATGTGTATTCATAATGCAACTAGTATTATTTCCCTAGCATATAAGTAGAAAACTTCATTTATAAAGCAAATCCCATCATTTAGAAACTATGTTAAAATGTTTGAAAAATATATAGTGGTATGATCATACTTTTCTAAACTGAGTTATGCTTCACTCACCCATGACTCAAAATATGTGTGATGCCAGTTCAGTTTCAAGTAGCCAAATGAAAACCATTAATGATATTAAGACTAACAGTAATTAATAAATTTGACGAAATACTTGATAACGTCAAAACTCTTAAAGAAATATGAACAAAAAATTGCAAGTTTGAGACTAATACTTATTAAATATAAAATATAGAAAAAATATATGCTGATTAAAGGTAGACTCCTCTAGAGACTCTGATTGTTCTAAGTTCAGGCACTAATTGAAAAGAAAATTTACACTTAAAGTAAATCAACTATATTTTAAAAAGATAACCTTCTGTAGAACATCAAAAGGAAGTTAAAAAAAAAAAAAAAACCTCTCCATATAGATGCCAAATTAAAAAAAGCACCTGAATTTTTGCCGTGTTAGAATATAAAATCTTCACTGCATTTTGGCTATTCCTTCCCAATTATTTAAACCAAAAATGTTATTTGCATGAGTTCAAACTATATTTACAGATAGCTTACATTCTATGCTGAAGCATTTATTTATATAATTAATGTAATCAGAAAAATCTCTACCTCTTAGTGTAATCTTGCAATTGGCAACATTGTTACTTGACTATATTCATCTTCTATCCTGTTTTAATAACACAAGTGACACCTAAGAAATTATTTTTGATCTTTCAATAAACTAAGTCAGTGTAGACAGAGGAAGGTGAAAGCGGTTAAACTGGCATCGATTATTGAAGACACATTCATCAATTATTTAACAATCTCCCTCATCATCACAAGAACTATTGTGTTTATAGGCCTTTGCTGAGACACTCTGAATTTATTTTTAAATCATCTTTGTCCTGTGCATTAGAAATCAAAGCATACTGTACACTAGCATTAGTTTCAAGTCTCCTGATAAATCTATTACAAGATAGAAATAGTTTATTATATGAATCTTTGAACTTACTCACTGTAGAGGATTTTCAGAAATTTCTTTTAATGGTTTTCATTATAATTCACATCTTTCAAGGATTCTATTTCCTATTTTAAGCAAAATGTGTAGTAACAACTATCTTCCCAAGAATATTATATTAGCAGATACTGGTAGTCTCTTCTATTCTGACATTCATATCATTGAAACATGATCCATACTGATCTGTAAAGAACAATTTGTGGCTAATATTGACAGCTTTAGAAAGCAAGCAAGAGAGTATAAGTATCATTCATAATGTACAAGATTTCTACAAGATTTTTCATATCTTCTCTGACAAATACTATTGCAAATTGTTAAGTAGCTATAGTATATATGTGAATATATATTGATGAAAAAACAAAATGTCAGATTATTTCCTGATAAAAATGTGAGCAAATGTTATGTCAAAGGATAATCAATTATTCTTATTGCATATGGAAAAAGTGAAAAATTTATGACTAGATATTGAAAAGTATAGAAAATATATCCCAGTCACAGAAAATAAAAATACACTGTTGATAAGTCATATATTCCCAACAGTCACACAATTTATCACATTTAAAATGCTTTACTTATTTCTAACTTGCTTTTTAAAAATATTTCCCTCCCCAATGTTTTCCATACAAAATGCCCCAAAGCCTATTATGACAGTAACATCCAGTTAGTGCCATGAGGTTCTATATGTGTATCTTTGATAATTCCTTTCTGATTCTAATGATTACATCCTAGAATCTACCACCAGGAAATGTAAAATATGAAATCTTTAGAACAGATTATTAATGTATGCTAATAACTACCTAAGTCATACCAAACACTTATACAAAGGGATCCTGAAAGGAGTCAATACCAAGAAATTATTATTCTTAGCCTTAATTCAACCCAGTAAAATACAATAAATTTTCACTGTCAGATATGAAAAGAAGCTAGGAACAATGAAGATTTAATAAGGATTACCTATGTTCATGGCTCCATTTTAAATTTTTATTTAAATGTTTAGAGAAATTGTAATATTGATATAACAAAGCTCATAGAAACAAGAACATGATGGGGCATAGAGAGGCAAATACACAAGACACAATTTAATTATCTACCCCACAGGAACCATTCATCTCTTAGCAACTGTTTCTCACTTGCAGTCACTAATACTGCTATAGATCTCACATTCTATCTTTATATTCGGTCCTTTAGAAATTTGGAACTGAGTTTCCCAAGCATCATTTCCGTATTGAGTAAAGTGGAATATTTGAGTCCCAATATATACGTGTTTTCCTCTTCCCTTGCTGAAGAATACATTACTTTTAATAACTAGACTTCCACAAAGACCATGTGGTAGTGAATAAGTTAACTTATAATTGTGTTATGTTTGAATATGATTTAATGGAAACTATTAATTTATTCGTCATATTGGACAACTGGCTTGCAGATTTAAAAAGATATAGGTTATTATTTGTAAAATACATACTGAGCTTATAACCTAGGTACTGATATACAAATAATACATATCAAAAAACTTTAAATGGGAAAAAAAAACCTTCAAAAGAGATAAAATTAAAATACTTGTGGTAAATCCTGCTTGAACTTAGAAATCATTTCTATTTTAAAATAGGAAACATTAACACCATTTAAATCATATATAACACTGGTATTCAAGCAAGAAGTAGTCACAATATTCATATCTAGAATATTTAGGTATCTATAATAAACATAAAATGAATATAACAGAAAAATTCAAAAGAAAAGCATAGCTTCTAATGTTTTTTAAATTTAAAAAGAACATATATAAGTAGATGAAGACAATTTGTGCTGGAATTCAAAACTTTAGCTTACTTCCTAATAGAGACAAGTAGCATTTAGTTAAATATAACAACATAATTTGCAAGGCAACATAAAAATAACATTCATATTTATGTTATTTAATATAATGAGGACATGCAGATAAACTTACATTTTATTATTATACACCCTCATGAAACACCTTAAAAGCATCTTTTCTAATCTTACTTGTTAATAAAGTGCTAAAAATAATATTAATGTTTTTAAATAGAAGAGGGAGTTCTAACAAATGTTAGATGCAGGATAAACAAGATAATTCCTTTATATTTTCACCAAAAGGAAGTTTAAAGTCATCAACTTAGGCAAAGCGAAAATCTTATAGCTTCATTGAAGAAAAGATAGGCATTTAAATCAAAGTTATCCAAAATCATCCAGTGTTATTAGAAGCAATCTTGTATCAACACATGTTTTACAATCCTATTTTGACAATTCAACAAGTATTTCACACTAAGAAAAAAATGCTAACTTTCAATTAAATTACTTTCTGAAGCTTGCACTGAAGCCCAAAAGCTAAAATAGTATTGTAAATTTCTCTGCAAAGTTGTGTTTCCTTTTATGTATCAGAATGTAAAAATGATGTGCCTGGCCCTTGGTGATTGTGAACATAACTTTATTAAACTGTTAATAAATAAATTAGTACTCTCCTAAAAGTAAATTGTCCTAGTATTCTAATACGTATCTTCCACATGTCTGCAAATTCACTAATTCAAAAGACTATATGAGGGATGTTAGCTTAAAAAAAAAAATAAGACATTGGTATGCTAGTTGGTGCCTGTAATTATCTTTTTCACTTCCAGAAGGTATTTGGGGATTATTTAAGAGCAAAAGATGAATGGCGAGCCACTAAATCCTATTAAATCAATGCATGGACACAGCAACAGAGGTAAATAAGCTGTGGAGGTCTGAATACCAATAAAGAAGATAAAAATGGTTTTATATAGCTACTTACATCATAGCCTAGAAGTTCAGTCTGTGTGGATTTATCTACTCTGGAAGCAAAAGCCTTCTGTAAATGCTGGACTTTTTCCTGCAAAATGAAAAAAAAAAAAAAAAAAGAAAACAACACGTTGGTAAGTCATGTGCTTCTACACTAATGTCCCCCACTTATTAAAATTTGATTAGTGTATAATTCATGATTATCTGCATGTATACTTTGCTCTGTTGGTGCTTTGCATATCAGCTTAAATATTCATAACTTTAATTTTCTAGTCATAAGTACTCTACCTTTGGAGTCTGTTAGTACAGAAACCACTGAGGTAGAACTGCAGCTGAACACGAGAGAGCCAGGATTGCTTAAATCCAAGACCAAATGCTTATCCTGGGTTTCTTGTTGGCTGTTTTGTAAATTGAATTGATGGAATTTTCTTGTTCTAGTGTCAGAATATTTACCTTTAAAATCCAGAACACAATACTACTCAGTGGATTTCATCTAGTTTCTTTTTAATTTCATTTTTTTCTTCTTAATCCTTTCCTGAAATCTCCACATTTAGGAATCTATATGATATTTGACACTTAATCAAATTCTGTCATAACTAGGTAAGGGAAGTAATACATGAAGGAAGTTTGGGAGTTCATATCTCAAATGCAAATGCACTTATTCTGGCCTACTAATTTGACTGAGCTTCTGGTTGGGGACTTCTATTCTCATTCCTAGATGTGTCACTTAAAAGATGATCTTGAGCTTAGTTACCATGCAGTGTGTTTACTGTGTGCCTGGCACATCTCAAAATACTGTATTTACATGATCATACCTCATCTTGGGGTTTTTACTACTATTATCACCCATTTTTAATGAGAATAATATAATTTAGAAATCTTGACAAATTTTCCAAGTAAGTTCATGTGATTCTACTAGATTCTGCTTTACTTAACTTACTTTCTGAGGGTTGCTGGAAGGGAGGGGGGTGGAAGGATGGGGTAACTGGGTGATGGACATTAAGTAAGGCATGTGATGTAATGAGCACCTGGTATTATATAAGACGGATGAATCACAGGCCTGTACCTCTGAAACCAATAATACATTATATATTAATTAACTAAATTTAAATAAATTTTAAAAAAACAATTACAGAAAATTCTATATGTCAATACATGAAGACCACTAATACAACTTTTTAAAAAAGGATAATTTCTTTTGTTTTAAAGTTGAATGCTCAATAAAATAGTTGAATATGTTAACAATTAAAGCTGATTTAATTCATCTTTTTTCCAAGAAGGGATGATAGTCATCACGAACCTCACTAAGAACACTTTCCTCCTCTCCCCTCCTCTACCTTCCCTTCCACTTCCTTCCCCTGTCCATCCCCTCTTGCCCTTAATTCTGCCTGAGATTTGCATGTAATCAGAGTTAACAAACTATATACATAATTTAGGCAAACATATTTATATGGCTTATTGAAATAATAAAAAAAACATTATGGACTATTAATGTCTCAAACCTTCTAACTTAACCTATCACAAAACTTCTAGTGCTGCTATTCATACCAAAATGAAATGGAGATTAGGTAATTCAGAAAGATGTCATGCAAGTGAGGTAAGATTTTAACTGTACGAAAAGGATAAGTGAAAATGTGGCCACATTTTGCAAACTCAATTTAAAATGAGAAGTAACAAGTTGTGTTTATTTAGACTTATATTGGGCTGAGGAAAAAGAGCAGGGAGAAGTAGTAATAAGCAAAGGAAGCAATAAAGTTTGCTATCATTGAAGGGCTGTTTAGAAAAATTTATCTGTTTTTGAAAAAGGTTGGAGGAATAAGCATTGGAAAAGCAAGTTTTGTTATAAATCTCTAGATACATGAACATTTGCACATGAATTAGAGACTATGCACTAATGCAAAAAGCAAGGAGGAAAGACAGCAAATGCTTCCATTATGGTTTGCTCACAGTTCTATTTTCAAGGCCTCCCATCCTGAAGATAGGAGTGGGAAAGACTGCTAAACTCTGGTTCATTGGTCTGAATTATAAGACTTAGAAAATTCAATTTATGATAAAAAATTTCAAACACCTTCAATAACAGCCTAATCAAGGCAAAACAAAACGTACATCAAGAATACTTTCAGAAATTGAGAAAAAAAAAGGCATTTCTAATGGAATTCATTGCTACTTCCATTTGCAGGCATTTTCACAACAACAAATATGTCATATTTGAATTATTTGTTACTTATGCACTTGTATGCTATATTCAAAAGTGGGGAGTAAAATATAACTTTCTAATAGACTTAGGTGGATATATTTAAGGATCAAATATTTTGTTTAGTGTAATAGTAGGAAGAAAATATATGAAAGTTTCTGATAAATTTCTGTAACATACACTTAGAAGATTAAATAAAGTCTCTACAGGTTTTGGAAGATAATTCTCCATGGCGCTTTTGCATTTCTGCAAGACTGATGGCTATTTATGAATTAATAAATTTAACATGAGATAAAAAGTATTACATAGAAAATAGACCATAAAAATAGCTATTATTAGATGGTGAGCTTGCTAATAATTATTTATATAAAAATGAATCAGTATTAGCTATATAAATACATATATTAGAAGACTAGAAATAAAGCATCATATATTTTTATTTCATGCTGATTTGATATAAGAAAAGTTTTTATTTAAATTATTGATTTCAGTATAGAGAGACAGACATTTCACCTTCATGATGCAAATATATTATATTCCTTAATTCAACTATAACTTTTATTAAATGCGTATTATGGTACAAGGGACATAAAGGGGGGAAAAAAAAGGCATACCCCTCCTAATGTATAAACTTGTTAAATCACTAAGTTGTAAGCCCGAGACTAATATAATATTGTGTGTCAACTATACTAGGGAAAAAAAAAATCCATATCTCAATTTAAAAAAAAAAAGGTTTAGCCCCTTTTATAAAGAAACTTCCACTGTGAAAGGCAGAGATATTAAAAAAATTATTATTCAATACATAAAGTAAAAGGACTACAGAGATGGCTGGAGGCATATAGGAGAGTTAAATAATTGAAATGCAGAAGCTACTGACACCCCAGCTAAAACTAGAAAAATTAATTATTATAAGCCAACTAGGAGTGGAAGGGATAAGGGCCGTTTCTTAGACAAGAACATTTGCAAATATTTAGAAGTTGGAGAGACCCTGACAAAGATATACAGAAACAGCTACTAGTTCAAACTTGCCTAAGGGGAGACTGTGAAAGGGACAATAGTGAGGAGTAAGACTAGAGTGCTAAATCCAGTCTGTGCCAGAAAGTATAGAATTCATTTACACATGTGATTTAATGTGTCTCTCTTTTGGTATTTTCCTATATAAACATTGTAATTTCTTCTTCTAACCTCTCCCAGAGGGATAGAGGAGAACTGAAACAACTCAACTTCTGGTAGATAAGTTTTATAAATAAATCTATACCTCTGACAAAGTATCTATTTGTTTTTACATTTTCCATTCCAAGGAATGACAGTATCAATACTTCTTAACAAAACAAATCTTTTTTTTCTCATTTAAGATTAATAAAACCTATGTATTCTTAGAATAAACACAAAGAAAAAAGACTAGCAGATTCTGTAAAAAACAAACAACTATATAGATAGATAGATAGAGATATACACATATATATGACTAAATTATGGGATGAGAAAGAGAAATTTCATCATTTATATTTGGTGTTATTTTACATTTCTGCCTGATCTTGGTCCTGAATATGTGGAGGTTTTAAATATTATAAACATTGCTATATGAAAAATATACAAGATGGTTTTTCTCCACAAGTTTCCAAATAATTTTATCTGACATTAAGAGTAATTTAATAACATCTGTATAATAGCTATCATAAATAAATGCATATAAATCAAAGAAAATGTATATAATTTACAAACTTGCCAAGAATATTTATTTATATTCACGTTCCCTCTCATTCTGTAATCTTTACTACAACAGCTATTACTAACAATAATAGATGATATTTATAGCATGTAATTACACACCAGGCACCATACCATGTAATATATGTGAATCCTCTCAAGAACATACAATATCTGTGTCCTTTTTTTTTTAAGATTTTATTTATTTATTTGACAGAGACACAGTGAGAGAGGGAACACAAGCAGGGGGAGTGGGAGAGGGAGAAGCAGGCTTCCCGCAGAGCAGGGAGCCCGATGCGGGGCTCGATCCCAGGACCCTGAGATCAGGACCTGAGCCGAAGGCAGACGCTTAACCGACTGAGCCACCCAGGCGCCCCAAGTCTGTGTCCTTTTCTAAAGCAGGAAATTGATACTTAGTAAACTGAAATCAGTCGCTAAAGGTCACACAAGCTAGTAAGTGGAACACCCCAGAGGAAAACTCTCGTCTCCAAACCCTGATGTCCTTTCTATAAAGATATTCTGACTCTGAAAAAACCTTCAAGCAGTATTGCTGCTTGCATATTGCATATTGCATACCAAATGCAATAATACCAATAATACAACTGTGTTTTTATGTTCATCCTGTATATATTCTCCTGCAGACTCTATTAAGTCATTTTTTCTTTGCTGTGAAAACAATTTGAGGTTGCTTAGGAATCTTTATTTCCTATAAAAGCTGAGATTCCATAGAATACCCATACTAGAAATATGCAATGCCAGCAATGCATTTTTTAAAAGTATTTATTTATTTAACAGAGACAGCGAGAGCAGGAACACAAGCAGGGGGAGTGGGAGAGGGGGAAGCAGGCTTCCCACCGAGCATAGAGCCTGATGCGGGGCTCGATCCCAGGATGCCAGGATCATGACCTGAGCCGAAGGCAGACGCTCAACGACAGAGCCACCCAGGTGCCCCGCCAGCAATGCATTTTGAAACATAAGTTAGGAATAAGATGATAAAGTTAATATAAACTTATAACAAAAAATTGGAAGGAAAATGTGCAAAAGCAAACTGAAATAAAAACTAAATTTGAAAGGCATGAAATTCTCATGATAGCAATGATATTATCAATCAGTTCAAGCAAAGTAATCTAAAATTAATTCTGCTTAAGCTATTAGAATGTTTTCTGGTGTGTGTAAGTATGTTTATG